AGTTCATGTTACTGTTCTGACAAAAAGAGGAATGTCTGTGTCTTATATTTACTGATGTCAACAGCGAGGTGGGTGAACATGACAATTGAAAAATAAATATTTAGTATTTATTATAAGACATTTGTTTTCTATAGAAGTCATGGAGTCTGTGGACAGTGTCAGCTTCACACCAAGAACTTTAGTATTAGAAATTAGAAAAAATAGTGTTTAAGACTGGCATCTATTATTAGGTATTGCAGCTACCTTGTTCAATATTATTCCTGCAGATGTGGCTAATAACAAAAAAACACCCTGAGCTGTCACATGTAGTTAACTGTACATTTTGTCTTGTCTGAGGCATTAATTGAACACCTTTGTATTTCTCCTATAGACACAGTGTGGATTATTGGCGACTGGTCCGTCGAGGTGCCCAGAGAGCTGCAGAGACAGAGGAAGAAACCTGAGCCTCAACAACATCTGCATTTGTTGGTTCTTCTGGGGTGGACTTCGGTTGCTTCTCTTCAACAGCTCGCTGTGAGGGAGGTCTCCCCCGGATGGCCTGAGTGATGTCACCCACAGGCTGAGAGCTGAGGCTGAGGCGTGTTTTAAGCCTCTTGTAAAACCATTAAACCGCGCCCGCCTGTCAAGCTGATCAGCTACACGCCTTATCGTGAATAACTCTTAATAAATCAAATTAAAACTGATGAGTCATCGAAACATTCACCCCCCCCGTACAGTGTGTGTCCATTGAGACATGAGCTAATCAGACCTATTTGTTTGTTTTGTACCAAACTGTAAACATGTTAATCTCTGCTATAAAAACAGACTTTTTTGATGTTGTTTCAACATAAGTAGAAACTTTAAAACGTTTTATCTAATTTCCAAATGAGCTGAATTTGATATAATCTTTAAATAAGCCATACAATTCAAAATGGTATAAATGTATGTTTCCAGAAGAGAGACCACAAATACAAACAACGACTGAATGAGATTACGCTTAGTTAAACATTTTAATTCATGAAGTTTTTTCAACTGAACTGAAGCTCACAGTGAACCTCGGCAGCAGATCAAAATGTTGTAGTTTTCCTAATAATATTTAATAATAAAAATATCCCACAATTGAAAGTCATAATTTGCATATTTTAAAACTTAAACTTAAATGACTGTAAGATTACACCAAACAGGTAGTGAAATACTAGAGTATAAAAAAAAGTGTGAACATTTTGGGATTATCTGAATTTGAATTTTTCTTCTACGACTGTGTGTGAGGGCCTTCTTTAAAAAAAAAATTTAAAAAGTAAAATGAGCCGTTAATTTAAAAGAAAAAACTCAAAATGTTTTATGTTTAAAAAGTACATTAACTAGAAACACAACTGGTATATTGTGTGAGATTATAAAGGCACTAATGTCATACATAAGAAAAGCAAACGATGCTGCTGTTTGGATCATGCCTGCAGTCACTGACCTGTATATTCACATTTAAAATCTAAAGACATATTCTGAGTTTTATAGTGAATTTACTTTATAATCTCAAGAACTCTGAGTTTGTCTTTGGAAATGTTCCCTTTTCTGTTTTTTGTTTGTTTTAGAATGGCTCTGATACGCCGTAGTACTTTTCTTCTGTCATGTGTGAAGCTCTTTGTTCTCCTTGTTTGAAACAAGCTACACAAATAGAGTCATAATTATATTTTTGCATTTGGCAAACAAGGAAGCTATTGCTGTCACAATTTGACAACCAATAAAACGGATTGAAATGCGATGAAATGAAGAAGGTTGGAGTGAAACCCAGGCCGCCGGCCTCGAGGGAAATAGCCCTTTACATGGTTCATAACCACTGGTCTACGCAGCAGCATGCACTGAAAACTAATAAAGTATAAAGTCAGGCTCAGAAGGTAAAGAGAAGTCTTTGTTCAGGATTCATTTTAAATCAAAACATTCTGTTGTTAATTATAGAAACGACACAACAATGTTTATTATATACAGACTACTTTATTCTTTCAGCTCGTCAGTTCAACATACATTTCTATTTCTTATTGCATTTACTTTAAAAAAAAATTTTTTACAGGCGCACTGTGAACTAGCTAAAATGTAAAATCACTATATTTTAAATACATGAGATCTTTAGTAACTTCTGCCTAAATTTGTGATTCTGTATTGATTTGTTAAAACATTTTATTGTAATTTAGCAGAAAAAAGCAGTCGATGTAAAGTCCCTACCAAAACAAAAATATTTTAAATCCTCCATAAACTAGAAAATAAAATAAGAAAAGCACACAGCATGTTTTGTGTATCATTCAGCTTCAGCTCTCCACCGATGAAGCTGCTATGTCATGTTTTGTTTCTACATGTAAACAAGAGTATCATCAGCGTAGAGCTCTACATAAAACACTGACACCACTGTTTAAAAGGGTCAACAGTGAACCTGCAGACAAATCAACACACTGAATTTTTACAAGTTTACTTTTCTTTGTGAGCTTTTTGTTCCTGGTCAATGTGTGTGCTTGTATTCATATCTTCTTGTACATTTTATTCTCAGCGGTGTGTGAAATTATAAAGAGAGCTTGTTACGAGAGACTGAGGGCCTGATTAATTAAGAAAGCATCTTAGCCGCTAATAGCTCTAAACATTGCACATCATTTGCGAAAGCATTATACAAAACAATAACATTTACTGTATATAATATAGGATTTGTTTTACACTGCTGCAAAATGTTGCTTGATCATAATTGCATATATATAGTCATGATTGACATTTTTAAATTCATCTAAGCGATATAGGAGATATATTTATGAGATGATGGTGGGATAGAAAATAGAGTTAAACATAGTCATCCAGCATGTGTGCAGTTTGTGGACAGACTCTTGTTCCTGAGGACGGTCAGCAGGAAGAGTCCACAGCAGTACACCAGACTCTTCACTGTCAGCACTGTGTAGAGCAGCAAGAGCAGCTTCACCTTGTATGGAGACGGGACAGAGGGATCCGCTGCAGGTGATGGAACAGAAAAATAATAAAATCATCAACGTCAGTCCTCTGTTTTTCTTTTTTTTTAACAGAATCACTAAATGAAGATGAATCTACGCTGCACAAAGTCACCAGTCAAGTTTTTCATTACTACTAACTACCATGTGCACATACATGCTTCCATTATGCCATATCACCTGGCATCACAACATTTAATTTCATAATGATTCTGATGACATCAAATTATGTATATCCAATCATAAAACCATCCAAATGTTATAAACAAAGCTACAAAGCTTTCAATTCTGACAAAACAGAAGTGCTTCTGATTGGCCTGATTTGACAGTGATGATACTTTCAATGAAACACACCAAGAAAATGATTCAGTCTTGTTTTTATCAATTAAGGAACATCTCAAAGGCCAGAGCAACGCAATTTATTAACAATACAGAAATCATATCATGTCATATCTGTCATTTTGCTTTTATTTCATTATATCTAGATTATTGTAATGCACTTTTTATCTGCTTCAGTACATGAGCCACAGACAAACTTCCTGACACATCACACCTGTTTAAGCTTCACTTCACTGATTACCTGTTTCTTTATTCATTTTTAAATTTGACTCATTCCCTAAAAGGCTTTACATGGCCTGGCACTAGAATACACCAGCAGGCTTTTTTAACGCCTTGCTGCCCCAAAAAGTCCTCTTAGATCGGTCACATGAGACCTGCTCATCATAACAAAGTCAAGGTCGAGGTCAAAGGTTAATCAAGCTTTTGCTGTGATGGCTCCTCAGCTCTGAAACAGACTCCCACTCAGGGAGCAGTTTTATAGACTCACCTTTTTAGCCAACAGCTTATTTTATAAGAGCCCTGACGTACATTTCTTAACTGAACTAAACTAATATTTTAACTGTATATTTACATTTTGATGTTTTGTGATTTTATTTTCTAATTGTGATGTTTTTCTTCACTTATCTCTGGCAAGCCCTTTAATGCTCTCGTCTTCAAAGTGTTATATAAATAAAGTATTGTTACCTAAATGCAAGATAACACTGCTGCTTTAGTGATAATAGTCTGATTAGATCAAATTCTCTACAAACGATGGCACTGGATAACAAGCATCTGCTGCCCCCTTGTGGATAAAAAGAGACTTCAAGAAACTTAAAGCCTGAAAGAAAACAACCATCTGGTGTTCATCACTGTGCAATCTTCAAAGATTTAGAAAGGATAGACACATTTTATTTTTGTTAAGTTGTAATTGTTTGAATACTTCTTCTGTCTGGCTGTTGGACCCATGACCTTTACACGTGCTGCTGCACAGTGACACAAAATAAACTTCTTTTAACAGCCACCTAAAAACATCTCTTATTTAAAGAGAAATCTGTGACAGGGAGAAAATGTATACGATATAAGTATTGGGCCTTTTAAAAAGCTCTGTGCATCTTAAAGAAGACAAAATCCAATGTCTGGTTGCCGTGATCTTTAGGTCCTCAGACGGAGCTGTGTTAAAAACAGACATGATTCTGTTTAGGACATCACTGTACTACAAAGACAGTTAGACAAACCTTCATCGTACAGGCCTCTGAGGTCCAGTGGAAATGGGCTGTCAGGTTCACACTTGTAATGCTGATTTTGGTCACAAGGTGGAAGCAATTAAATATTTATAAATGTTGGCGCGTCAAGTGCATCTTGGTCCTTCTTCCTGCTTAAACAACAAACACTGTGGAGATTTGTGAGGGGGACAGTGCTGTTTTACTCTTAGATGATTGGTTTATATACATCCTGTTAAATTTCAAGAATAAAAACAGGAAAAAAATGATATCTGTATTTATGAGCTGTATTAAGAGATCATGTTGTTGTATCAGGTGTGTGTGTGTGTGTGTGTGTGTGTGTGTGCGTGCGTGCGTGCGTGCGTGCGTGCGTGCGTGCGTGCGTGCGTGCGTGTGTGTGTGTGTGTGTGTGTGTGCTGTTATGGGGCTATAACTGCAGGTTGTGTAAGGTCTGATATGAACCAAGTAATGAAATTAAAAAGGCAAACAAAGAAAAGAAACCTCAACACATTAATTCAGTTTTATTTAAAATATACAAAGATTCAAATATTTTGCATTGGGTCTGTAGCATACAGTGTTTGTGCAGAAGTAAGCAAACAACAAGACTGAGACGAAGTATATCCAAAAATATTGTCTTCACCTTCAATCAAACACTTTTGGATTGAACTTGATATTCTGACTGTAAGACATTGGAAAACTTTGGTTTCATTTTACATATTGGTTGATTTGAGAAGAAGACATGACAGAAGCTCAGGATTACTCTACATCAGGGGTCCCCAACCATCGGGCCTCGGGCCGTTACCGTTACCTTAGAAATATGACAGCTGCTGTCTGGTTCGTGATGGGTACCTCTGGTTCTACAGCACATCAGTCAACTTCTTCTCTTCTTGAAAACACTTTTAAACTGTTAGCATGTCAGTGTGCCTGCAGCTTGCTGTAGATCATGTCTTTGCTGGCTGCTGCAGTCTGACCCTCATAGATGGTAGAGTAAATATGGTACAAAGACCGCTGGGAAAAGACAGAAACCAACTTGAGCATCTGGTATATCTGGAAAAATGTGATTATTGTTCTTCCTGTCAGACTTACGTTGCTTTTCCGAGACTCACTCCTTTCCATTCCCTCAGAACCTGTGACTGAGGAAGACACACAGATGAGAAAATGTTCCCTATAGCTTTACATTTTACAGCACACTCTGTCCATTAATTAGAACCTTTCAGTCCGATGGCTCGATGTTTTCGTCCAGAAATGAATAATGATGCACTTCATATTGCTGGAGAGCTTGACTGACATTTATTATTTAAATTGTATTTATTTTTCCTTTTTTAAGGGGTGTACTGATTTAAGGGGAGACGAGTCAACTACCAGAGATGGTGGATGATATAATAAAGTAAACTTAGAAACAGGATTTAGCACATTTCATACAAAATTAAACTCAATATGCTTGACAGAAGAGAAACAAAAACAAACACAATACAATACGGTTGATTTCCAGGTCATTGATCACTAGTGGCAGTTTCAGTGCTGCGGTTTGCTCTGTAACCTGATTGGTACAGATCACACAGACTGTGAATGGATGGTAACCGTAATTGTTTGTAGAATTTGACTGAAGGTTGGAGATTGGTCTGTAGTTGGTAATGATTGATGGTCAGGTTTGTTGTTTTATTAGTAAAGGAGTAACTGTAGCATGTTTTAGAGAAGTGGGGAAAACCAGTCCGAAGAGAATCATTTACAACATGATGTAAGTCATGTAACAGGCTGTGAGGGACACATTTACACAGTTTTGTGGGAATGGGTCAAGAGGAGAGGTAGAGGTAGGTACTGTACAGTACTAACTTGGACACATGTGAGCTGATGAGAGGAGCCTGATAGCGGGGAATTGCTTTTACATGATTTCAAAGTGTAAGTTCTTATTCTCAAGATTTTATTTTATTTTTTTATTTAGTTTGCAACTGGCGACCTTATTACATTTATTCAAAGAGAGTAATTCCACAGAATTTGACCTATAAGGATTTAATAGTTTACTGTGAAGAAGAGATAGTGAGTATTATTTGTATAGTAATTTATCATTTTTGAGATGTGTTGCTGTTTTGACATTTTCAGTTATTTTTTCTGACAGGTCAGTATACTTTTTCTAGATTTAAAAATATATCTGAAGCTTTTAATCTCACCATTTTTGTTCAGCCTTTCGGCGAGATTTTGAGCATACTCACTTGTTCCCCATTCCTCCCAGGAGTCTTTGTTTTTTTGTTTAATAGTAGACTTTTCTAGTCTTCTGACTACTCAAAGTGCTTTTTGCACCTCAGGTCACATCTATTCATTCACACACTGATGACAGAGGTCGTTATGTGAAGTGATCATCAGAAGTAACTAATCCCATTCATACACATGCATACGGCAGCAACAAAGCAGTGGGAGAAACTTGGGTTAAGTGTCTTGCCCTTGCCCACATGTGGCTGCAGGAGCTGGGGTTCAAACCCCCGACTGTCCGGTTGAGAGACGACTCGATCACTGATCCACAGCCGTGTTGTTTTATTGGCTTTTGACGGGAGCAGTGCTGCCAATGATTTGACTAACAACAGAGTTAAATTGGCCCTCATCTCATCACATGATGACATGATTATGGTTCATGTATTAATATACATATCAGTGGTATTGTCATTAATAGAACGCGTATTTGAAATGATAACCACATTGTCATGTCTTGGTTTGCAGTGATCTGAAATTGCAACATCGAGAAAAGCAGTAACCGTTATTACTTTACTGTGTCCTTTAAATAGAATCAGGGCGATGGTGTGACCTTATTTACGTGTGGGCCCCTTAAACCGCTGTGAGAACTCAAATGCTTCTAGCACATTTAATAACAGTTTTGTGTTCAGATTGTTGATGTGAATAAAAAGTCACCAGAAATTACAACACGGTCATAGGTAATGGAAACTTTTGAATGCATCAATAAAATATGTTCTTAGTTTAGGAGGGTGATACACGGCGAGAAACATTATGGGAACTACAGCTTGGAAAACCACCATGGGCGGATCTAGGCAGGGGCCAACAGGGGCCAGTGCCCCTGTAACACTGAGCTTGGTCCCCCATGTGGCCACCCCTCCAAAAGGAAGAGCCCCCCTAATAACAAATACACAGTATTTGACTCAACAACCGTACTCACAATCTACTGTGATATTAACGGAAACAAATGTAAATCATGGTATTTAATGATGTGCACTATTATTTAGCATAATATATATATATATATATATATATATATATATATATATATATATATATAAAAGCGATTATCTTTGTCCATTTTTCACCTTGGTTTAATGCCCCCGTCTAACAAAACAACTGGCCCCAGTTTGGCCCCCTCAGTAAAAGTGGTCTATAACTGCCACTGACAACCACAGCTAAGAATTGAAGGTTGTGAAACCACCAAGACAACTTTCACACTATGTTATTAAGAAATACACCTCACCTCACCTCCAGCTCACGTTCAGAAGTGCTATGAGATATGAGATATGAGAGTGTTCTCAACGACGCTGTCTCCATGTCTCAGCGCTGTGTTCTACCAGGCTTGTCTTTTACTCAGTTTGAGCTGCAGCTCTTTGTGGTTATTTATGCGCAAGCTGACATTTACCACAGAAGTTATTTTAATAGGCTAGCTGTGAACCATGTGAACTCAACAGTTGCCATTTTTTTCGAGGTCTCCTCAGCGGAGTCTTCAATCATGCTTCACCAAAACCTTTAAAGCTGGGTGCATGTTAGAGCAGCCATTCAAACCTGACCCCTTTTCCTGACATCAATGTTTTCTGATGTCTTCTCCAAATGCACCTTCAGTAAATTAAACACTATTTAATTCATTATACTCGAAATGCATTACAATTTAGTTTTAAATGTGTCTGTCTGAAGTAGTAGCTCTTACAAGTACATATTCAAAGTAGATTTTTAACCCTTCAATAGGGATTAAAGGGACAGCTGTGTCTCAGTGGTAGAGTCGGTCTCTCAACCAGGAGGTCAAGGGTTTGATCCCCAGCTCCTGCAGCCACACGTCCAATCTGTCCTTGGGCAAGACACTTAACCCCAAGTTGCTCCTGCTGTTAATACTTGTTTGTAAAAGGGATCTTGAATAAATACAATGTCATACCTGTGGTTTTGATGAGTGATGGCATTCTCTGGGTCCTTCTGGACTCTTTCTCTACAATACCTGCAGCAGAAGAGGTTAGAGTGATGTTAATGTCAATCTACATGACAACAAGCATTGCTCCAGCTGCTTCGTCAGCGGCATATGAATTTGTATGAATGGATTAATTCACACTGATGGACACTTGACATTGCAACCTCTACCATCAGTGTGTGAATGTGTAAGTGTGACCTGCAGTGTAAAAGTGCTTTGAGTAGTCAGAAGACGAGGAAAGTGCTATACAAGCTCAAGTCCGTTTACCATTTTACAATCACAACTTTTAGAGCTTACAAATATTTCCCTACAAAAGAAAAACTGAAAGAGTAAAGTTTAAAAGTTTGATATTTCAGTCTTCTACATAACAAAAGATTCTGACTTCATTTGACTCACCAGCTCTTCTTTTCTTCCAAAGAATAACATTAACAATCACTGTGATGACCACAGTAGATCCACAACCAGCGAAAACCCAGACAAACGTCCAATTCCACAATTCTTTAGTATCCGGAGAACTTACAGTCGGACCTGCACAGCCAAAACAGTTTTACAACAAGAAAAGAGAACAATTTGAGTATATCATGCATTGATATTAATATTGGTCTAGCTTTCATTTAATTCCCAGGTGCTGTCTTATTTGAGGCCGTAGTAATACCTGTATCTTAAAAGCACACAAACACAAAAACATTAAAATGTACCATTATCTTTGAACATAAGTGAAGAAGCATTGACTCTGTAAGTGTCTGACTTTTAACAAGGAATGTTTTTTATTAACCCAGAGTGTTTTGGGCAAAAAGTGGAAAAGACAAAAATCCCAGATGGTTAATGTCCTTCTGTGTACAAGCTCAGTCATAAATGCCCAGATTTACAGTCACTCTGCTGTTGAAACATCACTATTGTACATGATGTTGTCGGGTGACAGCTAGGAAAGACTGGTGGACAACTTGACAGCAGGACAGACTGCCGCAGGAGTGGGCGGCTAGTCACCCTACCCACTTGCAACCTGGAAGCCCCAGGATACACCAAGCAGAACAAAATGAAACAACCCGAAGGCCCTCCGAGAGAAGATTGGCCTACCAGGACGGAACAAGAGGTAACGACAGGAATGGAAAACCACAATGAGAAAATCCTCCGGAAGTGTATTTGCGGATGGGAGAAGGTGGCATCATGTAGGGGATTACACATCCATCAGGGGTAGATGAAAGGCAGACAGACCAACGACCTCGCATTGTGCAAGCAGTTCAGACGATAGGGACCCAAAGCCGGGATTGCAATCACAGTGCAATCATGTTGGAAGTAGCAGAAAGAGGTCCTGTGATGGAGAAGGTACACAGCATAGATGAGGACACAGGCCTACCAGTGGCACGCCCACTAGTCTGATAGCAAAGCAACCAGGGAGACACATCAAGATCAAGTGGCCAAAAGCGAACAATTGTGCAGAGTTGCAGAAACTCGATGCAGACTTGAGCCACCTGCCGGAGCTGTACTTGAGAGGAGAAGTCAAAAGCAAGCTTAACATCTTCAGCAAGATCATCCATGAGGAATGCAGAGAGAAGTTTGTGGAAGTCAGGAGGAAGCAGTCCACAGCCTCGAGAATGGAAGGATAGAGAGGGACATCGAACAACTTGTCAGAACCAACTCAGCCAGAACTGGAGGAAAGCTGCACCCGATGAAAAAGTCGGCCTAAAGGAGCTGTGGGACGAGGTCAAACAGAAGCTTGCCCAGCTGCACAGGACCGAGAGGATCAGAAGGAGGAGGAAGAAGAGAGAGAAGAAGAGAGTGGTAAGCTAGACGCCACCAAGGAGGAGGTGGAACAGTACATGAAGAGCCAGTACAGTGATAGCAGACAAGCTACACCTCGGCTCCCCAGGACATGGCCATGCCCAGTTCCACCAACCTTGCCATTTGATACCCCCCACCTAAACTGCATGAGGTGGAAGAGGTTATCAAAAAGGCAAGGTCAGCATCAGCCCCTGGACAGAACGGGATTCGCTACAAGCTGTATAAGAACTGTCCCCAGGTAGTGAAAGTGCTGTGGAAGCTTATGACAACAGCTTGTATTCCATTATAGTGGCAGAAAGCAATCAGTGTCTTCATCCCCAAAGATCAGAACTCCCATATCATCAACCAGTCAGAAGCATTGCCTTGTTGAATGTGGAGGGGAAGATTGTCTTTGCTGTTTTGGCAGGAGAGTGGCCAACTTTCTCTTGGCAAATGAATACATCGACACAAGCTGTCAGAAGGCTGGAATCCCAGGCTTCCCTGGATTCATCGAGGACTCTGTTATGATTTGGGACCAAATCCAGCGTGCGAAGAGAGAGAAGAGCGACCTGCATGTGATGTAGTTAGACCTTGCCAACGCGTACAGCTCAGTGACGCACAAGCTGATAGACTTTGCTTTGGAATTCTTCCATATCCCAGATTGTGTGAACATCATAGCCAAATACTTAAGCAATCTGCACATGGGCTTCACCCTGGAAGGCTACACATCAGATGGCAACAGCTGGAATGTGGCATTGCCATGGGATGCGCAATCTCCCCAATCTTGTTTGTGATAGCCTTTGAGATAATCCTCATAGGGGCAAGGCAGGTGATGGGAGGTATCAAGTTACCAGGCTTCTCCCGCTTAGGAGTTAAATTGACGTTGTCAGAAGCATCCTTCAGACGGCTCCATGCACGGCGAGGCTCCTCTATCGCCTTGATGAGCTCATCACAAGGGCAAGTATGAAGATAAGGGCGGAATTATCAAGAAGTCTCTCATTGAGGAAAGGGGTGCCACAGAACAAGACCATCTTTGTTGCTGGTGGTAGCCGATCCCACAGCTGGGCAGACTTTTCTGACAGACACATGGGGAAGCTACCATCACTGTACCATCAAGTGTTGTGGCCACTAAAGGTCAGCGAGATTCCATCATCAGAGGTCAGCAGGATGGACAGCCAAGCTAACAACTGCATCTGAAAGTGGTGGGGCTTGCACTGCTGACAACGCCAGCGCTATTTTCAACTTTTCATCAGACATTCTCGATAAGAAGTAACTTACTTCTGAGAAAATTGCCTTCTCGTAACACAACAACATTTTATTTATCTGTGTTCTTCCTTGTCCTTTTCCAGTTTTCCCTTTTTGGAATGACGATTACAGACTACCGCAACCTGCTGACATGGAGAGTTATTGCCTCTCATGCATGCGCAGAACGTACGTGGTTGTTGGCCATCGTCTATAGTCTTTGCTGTGTGTTATAGTGCAACTTTTTGGCCAAGACAAAAGGCGTCGCCCGCCGACACCACAGGCGGTCTTCGTCGCCACCAGTTCTTGGCCATCTGCTTGGTGTGTCAGGGCCTTAAAAGAACCCTGCTCTGTCAGTCTGTGCAAGAACAATACACCATTCATATGTTGTCTGTGTCACAAGTCAAGCTCTAGATTAACACCACCAGCTTCCCCTTCACTACCTGCAAGCCTTACCTGTTCTGTGTCTTCACCTGGGTTCAACCATAACCACAATGTAAACCAGAACAGTATTACTAACTCAAAGCCATTAAGGGTACAGAACTTAAAAGCAGCTAATTAGTTAACAAAACAATAAACTATTGAGTTCTCTGAACGAGTGATGTGTTTTAATTTAATATGGATCAATGTGTTTGAGTTAATATCCATGTCTAAATCATATCATTTGAGTTAACAGAGGGACGCAGCGTTTGACGTCATCGACGTCGCTACGTTCACTCACGCTATTGAAAAACTCACAACGGCCATACTAGAAGCGCCACAAGTTTGAAAGTTAGGGTAATGTCAACATGACGGTGTGCCAGTGACTGAAGCCACTACCATTCAACTGACTGGCATTATTTCAAGTCTCGGGCTGTTCCTTGTTCTAAGTCATCTGCTGTGGTGAGTAAAAAAGTTTCTCAAACTTCTCGTGTCTGTTTACTGGTGTATAACGTTAACAGAAGCTATAACGTTAGCATGCTAATACCTTGAGCTAACTGTTGTTGAAACTGCAGCAACGTTATTTAGATGAACTTTGACCCTACTGTGGAGGCAGGTAAGCTGCTGCGCTGACGTGTTTGAGATCAAATATAATGTTCTTCGTCGTATTTATTTGTCAGACTGCAGGACAAAGAAGAACGGAACGCAACATAAATGATTTTTAAATATTTAATTAACCATTAAATAGAGAGTTGTGTGACTCACTAAAATATGTTTGTTTAATGAGTGATCCTGGTTTGTTTTTATATCGTATGTGACTGATCTTTCCCATCAGGTTGAAGAGCACTGAACTTCAAGCTTTAAAGACATCAGGTAAGAAGTAAGCCATTTCTAAACTTTTTATATTATTACCTGTGAACCCACAGCCTTCTGTCTGCCCCAGCAGTACAGTGATAATCTTTAATGGTCTACTGCATTATAAAATGATTTGTTGTTAAATTAAAATAAATATAAGCATTAGATTATGATGAACTGGAATAATCTAAATTATGTCATATTGCTAATTGAATCTATTTCCCTTGGATCAAACTGAATATTAAGTAAAACTACAAATAATCTATTTTCAGTGTTACAGTTAAAAAGTGTTCATCAATATACTTTTATGTTTCTGTAGGTCTGCAGGTGTTTGCTGAGTTCCATTGCATCACAAATATGAACCTTCACAACACATTCTACAGCCAGCTGGACCGACACACACTGCAACAGCATACAGGCAGAAGGCCTCAGAGACATGAGAGACAGGCGCTGCAGGAGGATATATAAGCTGTAGGTAAATTACATACAGAAGAATAATCATTTTAACCTGCAGCTAAGGTTAATAATGATCATTTATTCTTATAGTCATAATGAGAATTTAAAAAGGAATTTCTTTTTTGGCCTAGGAACAGCATGATGTACACAAGAAGCACTCTGGCTCCTCATACCCTCCCATTGTACGGGCAAGGGGATCTTCAAGACCTGCAAGGTATGTACTCAGTGCAATTGTGCAATTATGAAAATGTCAATATCAATGACTAGTGTAAACTGTTTTTGTAAAGTAAAATGTGACTTCCTGCATTTTACAGACTTTAATAGAAGAGATGGGTTTAGATTTTTCTATATTCTATCCAAATATAAGGCTTGCATGTGTTAATTACAGTGAAAGAGTATAAGGACTGTTATTATTCTTCCACTCCATGAGGCATACTGTATTAGGCCAGGTCCAACTGTAAGACATTTTCAATCCTTGTTGAACATAAGAAAATCTTCCCGTAGTTAGGCTGAAGCTAAAATGGTGCTTCAGCAGTCAGAGGTAAAAAAAACAAGAATTAGTTGATTTTCTTTTTTTGTGGCAGGAAGAGGAAGCATGATTATCTTTGATGTGATTTGGCTAAGTCTGAGTTCTAGAGGCCTCATAATAACAATGAACTTTAGGTCGCATTTTAAAACAGAATTAGGACTTTCAATTTTGTCCTTTCACCCTTACAGTGGCTCACATTCAGCAGGTATTATAGAGACAGTATAGACAGAAAAAAAAAGTGTGACCGCCAGTAACTGCCAACATGCATATTTACATGCGAGTGTTGTGTCAAGACAGAAACATATTTACTGATGCTTTTAATTGTGTGAGGAGCAAGAGCCTACTGTGCAGGACTTGTAATCTTGTTACTGGGATTATCTCCATCTTTTTTTCCTTTTATTTTTGCAGTGGGATGATGAGCCAAACTTTGAACACCCCTGTAGCTCTCCTCTATATGGTCACTGACAGCTCCACTGGTACCATCCAGTTCAACCCTGACAGCATTTCTGATGTGATTGAAACAGACCTTGATGTGATGGGTCTCCCCAGGTTGGATGATGTACATTTTCATAATGTTGGTTTTTATCTGAAGGTGATCATTTTAGAAGGTTCCTTATCTACCTCAGCACATGATACGTGTGATTCATTATGTTAAATCATTGGATCTTTATTTGCTTTTGATTCCACAAAAGTTATTTTCTCATATTTTGTTTAAATTTATTGATTATTTCTAATAATGTCCTTAATTTGCACCTTGTAGCACAGTTTAAGGTTCTTTGAATCCTGTGTAAAATAAACACTGTCAATGTTTCCATTAAAATACAGACACATGACTGGATCTACAAAACCATTCCAGTTGTTTCAAGTTGTATAGACTGTTTTAAACTTGAATAAAAAAGGTGAACTGAACAAAGTGAGTTGTATTAGTATTTTTTAACAATTGTACTGAAATGAGGGTTTTCTTGTACATTTTGAGCTGATGAGAAGTTGTTTTGTTTATCTTTTTCCTTCGGTGTATAAGTTTAGCACAATTTAATTTTTTCGATTAGATTTCCCCCAGGCTTTGGGTTGAGCACAAATACATTTATTGAGTAGAAGAGTTGGTTGGATTTAATTTGAATGAGTATCATCAAATCAATTAAAGCGAGCATGCATAACTTAAAAATATATATTTTTTTATAAGTAATACATTTGAGTTGGGAAAACTTAAAAAAGAAAAAAGAAAATAAGAAAACAATTGATTGAACTGAAATTATATTTATTAATTTCAGTTCTACTAAAATTTTTTATTTCTACTACTCAAAAACTTTGAGGTAATCAGTTACGACAAACATTTTGAGTACTTTCAACTTGTTTGGGTTTACAGTGCAATCAACTGATTATCAAACATTTACATTCAAGTCACGCAAATTACACAAACCTTTTACCTAAAAAGAAACCAAAGGCGATGAAGTTGGTAGCTTTCAAAAGTGGTTCCTTTTTTGTTCAGATAAGACAATCTAAGGGAGCTTTTGAAGAAATCTGAGGCACTCAGACTTCTTCAAAAGCCTTTAAGTTGGATACACGCACTGAAGAGCACCAGAAGGATTAATTATCAAAACTTTTTTCAACTTCCATGCAGCACTCCATGCATCTGCTTTTTAATCTAATGGAGCTTTTGCACAGTTTCAGGATACAACTGCCCCTGCTCTCCCCCGGATTGTAACACAATTGATCTAAGTCAGTCCGTTGACTTCTGGCTTTAAGGTTATCTGAATTATTCAACATAGAGCGTAAACACACTACATGAAACAGTCAAATAATCCCACACAGCAGGAAAGCTTTCTTCACAAAAAGTTATGAACCTGTATATCCATCACAGATATCAGGTTGAGCAATCAATAACCATCAACCATCCATGTTGTCTTGTGCTGAAACTGGCATTGAGGTTAAAGCAAAATTAAACATGTCACCTGATTCTGGTTTCACTGATGTTGAGTGGGCAAAGTTGGGACCATCATTGTTACTTGCTGTGCCAACAGTCCAACCTTGTTAATTAAAAAAATATAATTTCAAACTAAACATAATGAAAAAAATAAAAATAAATGTATTACGTAAATGATTGAATTACCTGAAGTTTTTTTTAAAGGTCTCACAATAGTGGAGGCACTAGAGCTACTTGTAGGCAGACCTGGTGAATAAAGTAAAAAAATAGAGTTAACAATACTTTAAAAGTGATCTAGAATCATACAATGTCCTACCTGTGGTTGTGATGAGTGATGGCGTCCTCTGGGTCCGTCTGGACTCTTTCTCTACAATACCTGCAGCAGAAGAGGTTAGAGTGATATCAACGTCAATGTGCTTGACAACATGGGACATATCAGGCTTTCTTTTGATTTCCAGCACGGAAAAACCTCCTCTGTTTTTGCTGATGGAGGGGACTATAAAACTTTGATGATAAAACCCAATAATGTGGAATCAACTGTCCTCTCATAACTGTTAATAACTGCTTTGTCGATCCAAAAGTGGATTTATATTAATTTACTTAATCCTAATCCTGACAAAACTGAAATATAATTTTATTGTAACAGATACCATCACCACTGTAGTTGATCAGTTAATTGGCTCGTTTCAACCAAATATCAAATCTTGGTATCGTCTTTGACCAACGTATGACTTTGACCATCATACCACTAAGTTTGTCCAAGCAAACTCCTGCTGTGTGGGACTTGTTTAAAGGATAAATCAGGAGTCTGTTGGACTTGAATGTCTGAAAAAATTATGTTTTAACAGCAGTCTGATGTTTAAGGAAAATGTGGGACTGTAGTTTTATGTGACAGTGCTAGTTAGTAAATGATGGTAAAAGTGAAAGCAACACTGAAATATGTAGTAGGCTATACTCACCTTGATCAGCAGGTGAAGTTACAATAGAAACTGAGGTTGTCAAAGTGCTGACACTCTCCTTGTTCGGGTTTGTCTCATCTAAAAATAAAATAAAATGTTTTGTTCATGACATTTACACCACAGGGTTTTTCTTCTGCTGATCCAGCTTGAAGACAGATTTACTTACTTTGAACAGAGACAGAGGAATATTCACTTTCTGGAGATCGAGCATTTCTGTCTCCACTCTGAACAGTGTAAAAACATTTCACTTTGACCTCAGCAGGTGAACTCTGATGATCCATCTTCAGCAGTTCACTTCCTGTCAGTGTCTGCAGACAGGAAAATGTCCTCACAGTTCCTCCACTTAAAGTGAAGTACTGACACTGAGAACATGATGATGGAGTCTGACAGTTCAGTGTGACTGAGTCTGTCTCTGTGATCACCGCTGGATCACAGTATAATACATGTTCCACCAGTGCTCCCATTAGTATGTTTGTTTTGGTGTTTTTAGGACTATAAACAACAACAGATTATCTTATATAATCACTTTCAAAATAATTATTAAAACACACAAAGCAAATGTAGCTCAAATACATCTCAAATCTGCAAAAGCATTTTCATTCAAATAAATCACTTGACAAATGTATACTGATAGAGGATGCCTTTTGACAATATTCCAACTCTTTAAATCAGACTGCTTGAACCAGTTTGTTTCTTTCTGATTATGTAACAAATATAATGAATATTGACAACACTTGTATTACTCACTTTGTATGCTGATGGAGACTGTGTCACTGTGTGGAGATGGAAATTTTGCTCCACTCTGAACAGTGTAAAAACATTTCACTTTGACCTCAGCAGATGAACTCTGATGATCCATCTCAGCAGTTCACTTCCTGTCAGTGTCTGCAGACAGGAAATATCTTCACAGTTTCTCCACTTAAAGTTTGGTAATAACACTGAGACACATGATGATGGAGTCTGACAGTTCAGTGTGACTGAGTCTGTCTCTTTGATCACCGCTGAATTCACTGTAAGTTTAGGTGGAAGACGAGCTGAAAATATAAACCATGAATATGTTTTATCAAACTCAAACATAAGCTGTATATAAATGTTTAAATTCTTCAGTAGTGCAGCGATCACAGCACAGTTAGACATGAACCATGAGAGATCACAGACTGACCTTCTGTTTGAATCCCATTAAAGACATCTGTTTAAAAAACACAGTGAAAGTAAGGTG